GGGAGCCCGATGTGGGACTCGATCCCGGGACTCCAGGATCATGACCTGAGCTGAAGGCAGTCGCTTAACCAACTGAGCCACCCAGGCGCCCCAAAGATTTTATTTTTAAGTAATGTGTACATCCAGTGTGGGGCTCGAATTCACATCCTGAAGATGGAGAGTCTCATGTTTCCCCAGATTGAGCCATCCAGGTGCCCCATCACAGAAAGTTCTGCTGGACAATGCTGTTTAGGTTTCAGTACATTAATAGTGGCTATGTTTGCCTTTAGAGATTTATAGAATGACTGTGCCCCTGATTTTTTCCTAAGTTAGTGAGCAACAGAAAAGTCAATATAAGTAGAAAAGTATGTTTGATTTATATTGGGTAATTTACAAGGAAGTTCCCCCCCCACACACACACTGGAAACTAGGAAAAACATAAGAGTTCTTAAGGGAAGGAAAGGTTTTTCTTTAAGCCCCTACCAACCTCTTAAAGGAGTGGGCAGTAATGGGTTTTCTTTTGGGCTATCTTAGAGGTCAGTTGAATGTCAAGAGATCTGATTGGATGTTTCTGTGGAAAGTCAAATATAATAATGGAGTGTTGATGTTTTAATGTCACAGTGGGTCTGCCGGCAACACAAGTTCATCTCCTTTCTGCCTCTCATCCACTCCTACCAGCTCAGTCAGATTCTTTAGGATGGTAATGTGGTTTGGCAGGTACTCCGTTAATGAATCACTTTTCCCTTTTCCCAGCTGGCTAATAGAGGGGTGACGCCCTTGAACCTTGTGCAGACTGTCGTGGAGTGCTTGTCAACTTCAGCATACCCACAGGGAATATCTAAGGGCACAATTTCTGTGGTGAAAGGAGCTTCGTGTGATCCTTAGGAGAAATATTTTTGACTTGGTATTGGTTAGTAACGTTACTCACTTGGACCTAAAAGAAATCTAGGATAGGCAAGTCTTTGGGGTACGTTTGTAGGGGTAACTCTGCTGGCACACAGTAGGCCTGAGACCATTTGTTCTCGTGTGCCGTGTTTCAGGGATGTCGGGGGCAGGTCCTGAGCAGAGGCGGAAATGGTGGAGGAAAGTAGTAGAAAGTTCTATGATGGGAAAAAATTTAAAGCATCTTTTGTTTGACAGATCGTTTCAGATCAGTTATGCAGATCCTTTTTCAGTGTGCTCCCTTCATATTTATACATACATGTGTATATTTATATATATATCATTCTGTTTCCGTATGAATAATGAATAAGCCTGTAAGAAAAATCTTAGCTGGTGGAGACTAGTGACAATTGAAACGATCTCTGATTTGGGGTGTTTCTGGCTGAATGTGTGTGTTTGTGTATAAATGGGGGGGAATCAAGGCATGGTTGTTCCCTCCTCCCATTAGAATACTGTGGCTTACTCAGAGGAGAATTTTTTTACTGCATTCTGCCCTTGTTTAGGCTGAAAGTGAAGAAACCAAGGAGCGTCTGTTTGAATCCATGCTCAGTGAGTGTCGGGACGCCATCCAGGCCGTGCGGGAAGAGCTCAAGCCCGATCAGGTAGGACTGTCAGCTGGGCCACCGGCTCTTGCTCCTGGCTGAGCTCCTTCTCAGTCTGTGTGTCTTGTTCTTGGGGCGGGGGTGGGGGTGGGGTGGGCCCAGTGGTCTGAGTGCACAGACTCTTAGCCAAGGTATTTTTAGATCTAGTGATGGGCTGACAAACAACAGAAGCCTCTGAACTCCCATCAGGTTGAGAAATTTCCTCTCCATCCTGTTCTTCCTAATGGATTCATTTATTACCTGTGAAGCCTTTGGTTGCAAATTCATGGCTCCAGGTGGACTTTTCCAGTGCTCCCTTTTTCTAATGTCACTATGATTTCATTTGGGCATCTAGGCTGAAAACCTTGGGACTGTCTTTGTCTCTTTCTTTCCTATCACCAGAAATCCTACTAGCTCTCCCTTTGACTTCTCTCTCCACTTTTCCATCCCTCGCCCCTGCCCTGTTTCTGATTTTGTCCTATGCCTGGACTGCTATGGAAGTCTGATGGCTTTTCCCATCTTGGTCTGGGTTCAGTTCTCCAGGTCTTTCCTGCCAGCAGCAAACATGGGATCTTTCTAGATCCCATCTCCCAGGTCTAGAGCAGTGGGCTGCAAACTTTCATGATAATGCAACCCATAAGTAGAATTCAGCATGTACCTCTGATACATTTATTTATAAATTATATACTTTATTCAGTAGAAATGAGAAAAATAGAAGTTCTGATTTTCTTCTTATACCCCACTCTTCGGGTCGTGTGCACCCTGCTTGAGGGCCCATTGGTTTAACAAGTGCAGTTCCAACTCCATGAGCAGGGAGCCCGACGCGGGGCTCGATCCCAGGACCCTGGGATCATGACCTGAGCCGAAGGCAGATGCCTAACAACTGAGCCACCCAGGCGCGCCTGGGTGGTTGTTAATCTAAAAAAGGTTCATAGCGGGGCCCCTGGGTGGCTTAGCCATTAGGTGTCTGCCTTTGGCTCAGGTCGTCCCACTTCCAGCTCCTTGCTCAGCGGGAAGCCTGCTTCTCCCTCTCCCATTCCCCTTGCTTGGGTTCCCTCTCGCTGTGTCTCTCTCTGTCAGATAAATAAATAAAATCTTTAAAAAAAAAAAAAAAGTTCATAGGACTGCATTCCTTTGCAAGGGTTTTTTTAATTTTTTTTTTTTAATTTTATTTATTTTAGAGGGGGAGAGAGAGAACTCGAGCAGGGGGAGGGGCTGAGGGAGAGAGGGAAAGAATCTCAAGCAGACTCCACGCTAAGCGTGGAGCCCGATGCAGGGCTCGATCCCACGACCCTAAGATCACAACCTGAGCCAAAGCCAAGAGTTGGACATTTAACCGACTGAACCACCCAGGCACCCCTCCTTTGGAAGTTCTAAGGGAGGAATCCATTTCTAGCATTCCAGAGAATGCATTTTCCGACTTCTAGAGGCCACCTACACTTCTTGTCTTGTGGCCCCTTCCTCCATGTTCAGAGCCAGCAGCTTAGCACCTTCACTCCTCTCTGACTTCTGCTTCAGTCCCAATACCTTCTGTCACCGGCCCTCCTGCCTCCCTCTTAGAAGGAACCTTTAATTATACTGGTCCCACCTGGATAATCCAAGCTAATTAAGAGATCCTTAACTTCATCCCATCTTGAACCATGTGAGGTAACACCTTCACAAGTCCTGGAATTAGGACGTATGCATCTTTAGGAGCCATTCAAACAACCACAAAAGGCTGAGCTGACAGCCTAAGGGGTTAGATCTCAGAATGTGGGTCGAAGGCACAAACCCGAAAATGGTGCCATGGACTATGGACTGTCTGCTGTTCATGCTTTGGGTCTGGACACGGGAGCAGTGGACAGGAAGCCTGACTGGCCATTCTCTGAACTCTCCTACTTAAGTCCAGTTTTTAGATGCTGGTGACAACTGTGTGGCCTTGTTCTAGAATATGCCCAGGGGGTCTTTGATATTTCAGGACCCCTGATTTACTAGAGCCTGTGTTCCCAGGCACTTTGGAGACCACACCATGGAATGAGGTGGTCAGAGCCAAGGGCGGGATCAGCTGTTTTATCTTTACCTTTATTGCTTTCCACAGAAACAGAGAGATTATACCCTTGAAGGGGAGTCGGGGAAGGTCTCTAATCTTCAATACCTGCATAGGTAAGGGCTATAATTTTTTTTACTGTTTAGCACTGTAGTAAAAGATATCCTTGGAATGAAAGAGTATATATAATGTTTACGTGCATTTTACTTTCTGATTTATTATATAGCGAATAATACTAACGTACATATGCAGGTTTTATCACATAGGAGTCTATATATTGCGTTTGTATGTTATTCTATTATACATATAACTTTAAATTTTATACATTAAGAATAAGAATACAACTAGTAACTTTGAAGCTCCCTTTGGCCCCACGCTGGTTATTCCTCTTTCTCTTCCGGAGGTAACTGCCTTCCTTTTGCCAGGCTCCGAAAATTACTCTCCTCTGTGTTCCGAATGTTTTCTGTCATCCCTTTTACATTTAAGTTCAGTTTCTACTCCAGTTTGATTCTCTCTCGAGTTTATTTTTGAGTGTGGTGTAAGGATCTCCTTCACCTTTTTGCGTGAGGATGATGGATTGTTCGGGTGCAGTTTATGGACTGCACCGTCCTTTCCCCACTCACCTGCGGTGCCAGCTCCGTCCGGCATGCAGCCCGTTTTTTCCTCTCATGCTCTTTTCTGGATGCTCTTCTGCTCTGCTGATTTATTTTCTGTACTTGTACCAGCACAGTGAATGCCTATGACTTGAGTCTTGGTGTCTGGTGGAGCAAGCCCCCCAGCAGGTTTTTCCTCAGACACAGCTGGACTCTTTCTGTCCCTTTGCTCTTTCATATACATTTTTAAATCACCTTGTTAAGTTTAATTTTGTTTTAAAGGTGTGGATCATTCTGTTCACCCTGAAGAGGGGTGGAAGGAAGAGTGACAGTTTTGGAACTTTGTGCAGGGGAGAAGTAAAATGACTTGGGAAAAAGTGCACTTCTCATTAGATTCTCTACCCCATGTGACCTTGAAATCTTCATTGCTTAGTTACTGCTTGTAACTTTTTTCATGAACCTGGTAATTTTCAGCCATTCCCCAACCCCTCCTTTTTTGTAAAAACACCTCCCTGTACCTTAATCTACATGAGGGAATTAGATATTACGTGAATGTCGAGCAAGAATGACCATTTAATGTCTTGTATTCAGCAGTCCTGTGAGAAAGCCGAGGCCCAGGAGGTTAAGGCACATGTTTGTAGTTAACAGCCACAGAGAGTCAGAATCAGGAGTTGATCCAACTTCCTAACCTTGAAAAGACTCTGAGAGCTTTAACAGGGCTCAGAAAACCTTCAAACTGTGATGCCCCGATGCCCCCGGATCCATCCGCGTAACCGTCCAAAGAGAGCGTCCCTTAGTATGTTCTGAGAAGAGAAGGTCATCAGATGAGTAGGAGCTCAGTATCCTTGTCATGTGGGCCAGGCAGTTAACTGATCCTTGTTCCAGGAACGGGTTTGCCATCCATGGATCATCTCAAGGACTAACGGTGACCTCTGAAGTCAGTAGCTTTGGGGTTCTTTAAGACAGAAACAGAGGATATAATTCAAACTAAAATCAGATTTGTCATAAGGTCTCATACCAGCCCCCTGCAGATCTACCACTGAATAGCAGCCAGAGTTGAGACCTAGGTCAAATGGCCCTGCTGTGTGACGCCCTCGCCCCCACGCCCTTCCCCTAGGTCAGTCCCAACTTGTGGTCCAGTGCTCTTCTCAGAACGCCAGCTTCCCTGAGCATAACCTGAGCTGACGTGTGGTACATTCCAGCTACCTGACTTACATCAAGTTGTCGACGGCTGTCAGGCGGAATGAGAACATGGCCAAGGGGCTGCAGAAGGTGCTGCAGCAGCAGCCGGAAGATGACAGCAAGCGCTCCCCGCGGCCCCAGGACCTCATCCGGCTCTATGACATCATTCTGCAGGTGACCCTCGAGGACTGGGGAAGCAGGGCCTGTCCTTCGCAGACACAGAATGACTTAGCTTTGCGTAGCGAAGGGGCTGGGACCAGCAGCAGCTGTTAGTGGCTCAGGAAGAGAGGCCTTGTTCTCAGCCGTGAGCCGCGACGCTCAACGTGTTGGTGCAGAGAGGCCAGCAAGCCCTCGGGTGTTCCCTGAGCGCCTCGCCTGTGCAAGATCCTCTCCCACGTGCTGTGGGACTTGTGAGACCTGAGGCCACACTGTCTTGGCGCACTGGGGGTTGGTCTGTAAGAATGAGAGACACATGCATACCATCCAGGCATCTATGGGAGCTGCCAAACGGAGGGCCACTCTGAAATGAAAGATCAGACCAAGAGATCCCCTCTAGTTGACTTGGTCTGAGAAGTCTCAGAAGGAGGTGAGGTGTGAATGGAGTCATAAAGGACAAACAGGCTTTCAGTAGCAGAGAGGGGGTGGTGGTGACACTAGGCGGGGCTGCTGCCAGGCCACTCCTCACAGACCTTCCCGTTATTGCTGGCCTGGGCTCTCTTTTTGCCTGTGTGTGTTTTTACAAGGTCTCCTGTCAAAAACCCAGTCTGAGGCCTGCTCTTCGTGAGTTCTCTTGTTGTATCTCTCATGCAGAATCTGGTGGAATTGCTCCAGCTTCCTGGGTTAGAGGAGGACCGAGCCTTCCAGAAAGAGATAGGCCTCAAGACGCTGGTGTTTAAGGCTTATAGGTAAGGTCCCATGAGGCGGATGGAGTTCTCCTATGCTGCCCGCTGGCTCTGTAAGTCTTGGGAGCATGGACCGGACTCCAGAAGATTGGGTCGTTGGCTGTATGGTTACCTTTCCGATGGTCAGAACAGTCAGCCCAGCATGTTCAAGGGAAGCCTTTGCTAAAGGTACTGGCTGGGAGTTTCCAGTGTACCTCATTTGCTCTTTGGATAGGGTGGAGGAGGTGGGGGGGTACACGTTAAGGTCTTCTCCCTCCTCTTCCCTCCTTCCTCCTGGTGGAAAAGGAACAAGGGTAGGAAAAGGTGTTAGTTAACAGAACCAGAGTGGAATCTGAACTGAATGAGGAGAAAGCTAAGGCTCCTTTTTTTGTTTTTGTTTTTAAATGAATCGTGTTATTTGTAACTTGAAGGTGGGCTGTGTGGAGCAGGAGAAGGGTGAGGACAGAATGGCAAAATAGAGCCGGGTGTGTAATTGCCCACCCCACCCCCCATCCCCCTGCCGTCACACCCCAGCACTCTCTTACTCTCTGGCATGCCACATCTTCGCTCTTGTTAGCCCTCTTTCTGGCCCGTGTTCTGTCAGGGACCAGCAGCCCTCAGGCTCTGTTGACCCCAGTGGAATAGTTTGCATTAGCAAGAGGATTCTTGCGTTTGGTTTTTGAAAAAAAGGTGAGCAAGGATGAGCGAGCTGGCTGGACGTGTGGGCGGTGGGTGGGACTCATATTTGGGCAGCAATCCTCCTCCGGGCCTGTCCCGGCTTCCACCATGTGCCTTTGGGAGCCGCAGAGTCAGACAGTAAGTAGAAGACAGTGGGTCTGTTACAGTGTGGGACGTGCACAGCGCAGGGAAGAGTGGAGGGTAGCCTGGCAAGCCGGGGCATGGAGAATGTCGGAGTCTTCCCTGCACTGATCCTGAGGTTAAGAAGCCTGTTTCCAAATCTAAAATTGAGCCTAAACTTCAAGGAAAGCCTTGATCTTCTAGAATATTCTGGTTCTTTCCCTTCCCCGCCAGGTGTTTTTTCATTGCTCAGTCCTATGTGTTGGTGAAGAAGTGGAGCGAAGCCCTTGTCCTGTATGACCGAGTCCTGAAGTACGCAAACGAAGTAAATTCTGACGCCAGGGCCTTCAGGAACAGCTTAAAGGTGTGGCACTGCTCCTTGCCCCCACGCCCAGGGAAGCTATGCAGTGAGACGACCTCAGGCCCATCCTCCCTGGCCAGCTGCGGGTGTGGTGCGGCCCTGAGCGCTTCCAGGCCTAAGATGGACTCGGGTACTAAGAAGGAAAGCCATTCCTCTGGTTAAAATAAACTTGAAGTACTGTTCTCAGGTTTGGCTACATGTTACAGTCACCTGGAAAGATTTTTAAAAGATGGCTGTCTGAGTCCCATCCCCCCAGATTCCCAGATTCTGGTTCTGATCCCTGTAGGGTCTGGGGTGCGCACTGGGATTTTGTAAAGCCCCTCACTGATTGTGATATGCAGCCGAGTTGAGAGCCAGTGATGAAGCCTTTCCCCACAAAGTGTGCCTGCACCAGCAGCAGCATTTGGAACTTGTTAGAAACGCAGACTCCCAGGCCCTGCTCCAGGCCTGCTGAGTCAAAATCTGCCTTTTAGCAACCCCCCCAGGCAATCTGGGTATACCTCAAAGCTTACCTGCTGATGGAAAGTACTTGGTGGTTTGGTTCGTTTTGCTGCTTGTTGAATGACAGCTGGCTTTTTAAGCTGTGGACTGCTGTAATGATGTGGGGATCGAAGCACCAACTGGCCCAGGGAACCCAGGCGCGTTTGTTTACTAGTGGAGACCGTTCGGGAAGGCCAGCCGGGGTTGCCCTGGGCAGGCTGGCGCGGGAGCCACTGCTCTGTGGGCGTTCACCTGTTCCCTCAGAACAGCACTGGGTTCCGGGATAACATACACACCAGGCTTCTGCCTTCAGAGCCACACAGACTTGCGTGCGGGAAGGAGGAGGTCCTCGAGGGAAGGTGGGGATGGGAAGGAGTCGGTGAGGGGGTATGTGACCAGCATGGTGGCAGCGTAATGATGGGGTGACCTTGGCCCCGGGATGTGGAGGCGGACTGTGTGGACGATTATCCCAGGAGGCAGGAAGAGGCGTTTACAAATCCCTGTCTGACCTAAGTCTGAGAATAGAGGCGGGAGGGGTTCAGATCTTTTCGGATTTTGCCAGGTGGGAGACTACAGCCTGCCACGGGGCCCCTTTGTGCTTCAGTCTCCTCCTCTGTAAAGTGGAGTACAGATGAATTCAGGATTATTACGAAAATGGAATTAGCAATTGTGTGAACTGCTCAGAAGGCACCTGGCCCATCATGCATGTAGCGTGTGATATGCTTATTCATAATATTATCCTCGCTACTGTCTCCAGGCATTATTACTTAAGCTAAGGCATCACTTTTCCTGTCTGAAACAAGTTAGTGCCTTTTTTTTTTTTTAAGATTTTATTTATTTGATAGAGCGAGTGAGAGAGAGAGGAGCAGGAGGAGGGGCAGAGGGAGAAGCGGGTCCCTGCTGAGCAGGGAGCCCGATCTGAACCGAAGGCAGACGCCTAACTGAGCCACCCAGGTGCCCATTCTGTTTTTTTAAGCAGGCTCCACGCCCACTGTGGGGCTTGACCTCACGACCCTGAGATTAAGAGTCACATGCTCTATCGTCGGAGCTAGCAGGCTAGCGTTTTTTGTTTTGTTTTGTTTTTTAAGTACGGTAAACTGTTTATAAAGTCTAAAATCCTGTGGAAATAGTGGTGGGATCACTTAGCTCAGCTTAGTTTGGCACACTTGTCTGGCCTGGCTCTGGCTCATGAGTACATGTTTTTCTGAGTCATTACAGGACCTGCCCGACGTGCAAGAGCTCATCACGCAAGTGAGGTCAGAGAAGTGTTCTCTGCAGGCAGCAGCCATCCTTGGTGAGCCACTTGCCTCTTCTTGTGACATGTTCCCAAATTTCCTTCGCTGGTATACCTCCCCTCTCCCGCCCCCTACACTCCTGTTCTAGTTAATCTGTAAGATTTTTTTTTTTTCCTGCCATTATTTCTGCCACATGAAGGCATCAAACTGTGTGGAAGAATTTACTTACTTTTTTTTTTTTAAGATTTTATTTATTTATTTGACAGAGACACGGCGAGAGAGGGAACAAGCAGGGGGAGTAGAAGAGGGAGAAGCAGGCTCCCCACAGAGCAGGGAGCCCGATGCGGGGCCCAATCCCAGGACCCTGGGACCATGACCCGAGCCGAAGGCAGACGCTTAACGACTGAGCCACCCAGGCGCCCCTACTTATTTATTTTTTAAGATTTTATTTATTTGAGGGAGAGCAAGAGAGTGGCACAAGCAGGGAGAGGGGTAGAGGGAGAAGCAGGCTCCCTGCTGAGCAGGGAGCCCCATGTGGGGCTCGATCCTGGGACTCCAGGATCATGACCTGAGCAGAAGGCAGATGTTTGACCCAGTGAGCCCCCTGGGCGCTCCTGTGTGGAAGAATTTAGAGAACCAGTTCCGAGGTTCCTCCTCCCTAATAGTATTTTTCGTACAACCGTCGGGGCTCCACTGGCCTGACAATGTTGCTTCTGGGGTTTATCGTCTGTTTGTCGGCGCTGCTTAGACCTCGGCCCAGGAAGGAAAGGGCTATAACTTCCCCACGTGTTGCTGCCTTTGCTCTTGGGATTTAGAACCCATACATGTGATAGGTGTCATTTGTGACTATATCGTGTTAAGTCCCTGTTCTTACTGAATCCCTGTGCAACTTTCAGATGCAAGTGACTCCCACCAAACGGAGACTTCCTCCCAAGTCAAGGACAACAAGGTATGTCTGGGATGCAGCTTTTGAGGAATAAAGAGTAGAATTCATAACTCACTAGAAATGTGTGTAGAACAGACAACGCTTCATCTCTAAGCAAACCCCCTATTTGCCTCCCTTCTGCTCAGAGACGTTACAGCTGCTTGTATAAGGTTTGCTCATGTCAGCTAGCTGGCCCCAGAGAAGGAGCTTAGGAACTTGGGCTGTGAGGCGCGGCTGGCTAGGAGCTCGGCCTGGGACGCCCAGTACGCCTGTGCCCCTGGCCTGGCCCACGCCGCTCTCCACCTCTCTAGGTTTCGGTGACTTTCAGCTATGAGGTGGGGACGTGATGACACCCTTGTAGGAGATTGGTGGGGATCAAGCGAGGAAGCCCATGTAGGCTCTGAACTGGGTGCTCAGCGCGTAGTGCGTGTTCCACTGGTGGTCAGTGATTAACTCCTGGGTTCCTCCCTTTGGTTTGACTCCCAGCCTCTGGTCGAACGGTTTGAGACATTCTGCCTGGACCCCTCCCTCGTCACCAAGCAAGCCAACCTCGTGCACTTCCCGCCGGGATTCCAGCCCATCCCTTGCAAGCCTTTGTTCTTTGACCTGGCCCTCAACCATGTGGCTTTCCCACCTCTTGAGGACAAGTTGGAGCAGAAGACCAAGAGTGGCCTCACTGGGTACATCAAGGGCATCTTTGGATTCAGGAGCTAACCAGGCTCTTCTTGGGGGCAAGGGGAGATTCTCACTCTTCATCTGTGTTGTGAGAAAACCCCAGCAAGTTCCATGATATTAAATCCAGGTCTGCATTGGCCCCGGGCAGGAGTGTAACGTCCTCAGCCCTGCGTCCCTATGTCTTGTGTGTTTGTGCACTTGCCGTTCTTAACCGGTGTGCTAGAAGGGGGACCCTGCCGTCTTCTGGTGGATGTGTGCGGGATCCCTCTGTCCGCACCTCCTGGGGGAAGGGCTGCTGCCGTCTGGCCCCGTGGCCTGTGGGAGCCGTGCTCGGGTGGGTCCACGCCAGGCATGGATGGGAGCTCGGAACTTTCTGTCGTGTTTCTTCGGTACCGCGGATTTGCAGTGGACTCCTCCTCGCCGTGAGCACCGAGTCCCGTGAAGAGTCTGTGGCCAGGGACTGCTGGCAACGCCGCCCCACAGCTACGGTCGGCCTTACGCCCTGTCACCTCCAGGTGGGAGTGAAGTTTCAGAACAAGCAAAGAGCTCTATTTTTAGAAGAAATGTGTTACACTCAGAAATGATGAAAACAAATCTTATATTAAAAAGGCAGAGATGCTGGAGAGTGTGCCCATTTTTTTTACATGCTCTCACTCACATCTGGTCCCAGCGCCCTCCTAGGGACCTTGTTGCTCGATCCTGTCCTGTCGGGTGTCCCCTGACTTCTGGCAGCTCGGGTGTGTCTGAGGCCAGTTAAGGGAGTATTAGAGGCACTTTCTAAATCTGAAATTTTTAGATGCCATAGATTATATTTAAATCAATTTCCTTTTTTTTAAAGTAAGCTCTACGCCTCATGTGGGGCTCACACTCATGACCCCGAGATCAAGAGTCACGTGCTCTACAGACTGAGCCAGCCAGGTGCCCCCAAGTTTTTTTTTTTTTTTTAAAAGATTTTATTCATTTGAGAGAGCGCACAAGCAGGGGGAGAGGAAAAAGCAGACTTCCTGCTGAGCAGGGAGCCCGATGAGGGGCTCGATCCCAGGACCTGGAGATCTTGACCTGAGCCAAAAGCAGATGCTTAACCATCTGAGCCACCCAGGCGCCCCTCCCCGGATTTCGTTTTTAAGTTTTTCCTTTAGTGACCCTTTTTCTATCATAGCATCAATAATAGAAGTCCCAAAAGCAGTGAAAGAAAGCGAGCAATAAAAGTGATTTAGACATGAGATGTATCTGAAACCTCTGAATCCCTTTGGAGGTGGGAACTCACTTGCCCCGTAGGAAAGTGAAGCCACAGAGGGAAATGTTGGCTTCAGTGTGGCGTAAACCTGGAGCTGATTAGAGCAGCTTGAAGGGAAGGCTGGGTGGTTAAAGACCTGAGAACATTATTTCAAGCTGGACCCACTGTGGGCACGGACATGCCTCTTGTTTTTGCAGGGAACTGCAGAGGGGGGAGTTGCCAGAAGTTAGAAGACAGGAAGACAAATCAGACTTCTTCGTTAGAATTGAATGTTGTCAAGGACTCCAGATGCTCAGATTGTGATCTCTCCTCCCCCCAGGATTTGCTTTGGGTCAAAGAGCCTTAGGAAGCTGATTTTGTTTTTATTTTATTTATTTATTTTTAAAGGTTTTTTATTTATTTGAGAGAGAGAGGGAGAAGCAGACTCTCCACTGAGCAGGGACCTGACTTGGGGCTCGATCCCAGGACTCTAGGATCGTGACCTGAGCCAAAGGCAGACGTTTAACCGACTGAGCCACCCAGGCGCCCCCTGATTTTGTTTTTAAATAGAAAGTTTTATCATCTGTGCCATACAAGTCAGCGGTTATCCTCCCTCCCTCTGAAGATGCAGCACAGATGATCTGAGCATGAGGTCCTGGAATTTGGTCCCGAAGGCTTAAGACTGTGTCCCTGATGGGCTGAGGGAGCCCTGGGGGTCTTTATCCTTTTCCTTGCCCTCTTCCTGGCTCCCCAGCTTGGCAACAGCAGGCTGTGGACTAGGTTCTGTGCTTCCCTTGCCCCATTCTCTGTGCCCACCGGCTGCAGCCACAGCTGGGTCAGGCCCCCAGCGGCAGGCCCCCATGCAGGCAGCCCTCCAGCCTGTCTGAGCCGGTGGCTCCTTCTGCCCTCACCTGGGAAGACGTCCCTTTGTCTTGCTCATGGCCCTTCCTACCCCTCCTCTTTTAGAGTGCCGGCATCAGTGGGGAGGTGGAATCCAGAGTCAGTCATTCTGATTGACCTTTCCTAAGCTTTTCCTTTCTGTGGCCACACTAGAAATTCCCTTCCTCCTGGTGTCCCCGGGAGCTGCTGTGCATGGTAGTGGCTGTGGTCAGCCAGTGAGGCTGTTAACAAGGCATGTTTAGTATTAAGAGCACGTGTTTACACAAGAAGACAGCCCTGGCAGGGCCAAGGTCTCTGGTTAGCTTGCACATCCCTTCACATAGGATCCCTGGACATTAAACAGGCTGTCAGGGGAGACTGCGCCAAAAGCAGGACCCCATCATGTCCTCAGGCCAGGGAGCAGTGCTCACGACCATGGGTTCAGAGTCGAGCCCTGGGCCGCTCCTTGGGCCAGCACGTTTTGCTGGGTAGATGTACAGAACAAAGTGCCAGTAGCCACACAGTGGAACAAGAGTGCGGTCTTGAGGTGTAAGTGATGGATGCGGGTACTCACTTTGCTTCCCGTGCTCATTCCTGCAGTTGGGGCTCCCATCCCTCCCCGGGATGAGCTACGCTTGCTCAGCAGGCTTGGACCCTGCAAGAGGCTTCTGTCTCCCCAATCCAGAGAGGAGGAGAAGCTTCCTTCGGGCTCTGCCTTACAGCTGCCGTGCTAAGGGCTTTTATTTTCCTGTCTGTTGAGTGGTGGTGGTCTTGACTTGCAGAAACATGAGTGGTGAAAATTACCAGGAGATAATGCTGAACATCAGATTGAAAGACATAATGTGGCCAAGTTTGTGGCCTCTAACCCTGTTGGTTCTGTTTGGAAAAACGGAGCGTTGAGGCAGCTGGGGCCAGAGGGGCTCTGACCACTCCATTTCCTGGGTGTTTTCTCCTTTCCATGTGCGTTGTTTCGAGGTACTGTCTCTGGTTTTACTTTACGCTGAGAATTCTTGGATTCCCCTGTTGGAAATGAAACACTGACAGGCTTCGTTCCATCTCCTTCCTCTGGTGGCAGCCTGAGCCTTTCACTGGCCGGGAGGTGACGGCCTGTGGTGGTCGTGCGCCCTGCTCCTGCCACGGCTGGAGACCATCCCGATCTCTCCTCCCACTGAGGTGATGGCCTCACCCCCTCGTCGGGGGATGCTTGACCCTGGGGACTGCCGAGGTAGGGGCTGCACGGATTTTGCACACTTGGCATCATTAATCCCCAAAGCTAGCCAATCACAGAATTCTAAACACGTTGCTGTGCAGCCTTCACAAGCTTGGACCCTTCAGAGGTCTAGGAAAACACCCAAAGATAGCAAAAATATGTGTTGGGTCTAATTTTATTTCTAAGACAGTTGTTGCTACAGAAGAGACGGAAACCAGGTTTAGCTGTAAAATTTATCGATGTTCCGAAGCAGAGAGAGAGATTGGATGCTGCCTGCATCCTGACAGCAGCGGCTGGAAGAATCGAGCCTGTCGGTCCGCTGGCTGTGAGAGGCGGGGCGCGGGCGGGGCTGCGCAAGGGGCGAGCACGGCCCCCCACCCCCGCCGCAGGCCGGCTCTGCGGTGTTCACCGTGTTATTAGCCGGTATAGGGTGGATGAAGTGTGATCTCAGATGACGAATACGGATGGAGTACTCGTGAGAACCTTTTGTCTGAACTTTCCGAGCTCTTACGGGACTGTGAGCTCAGCATCTAAGGTTTGGTTTTTATTTTTGTTTTGGGGCAGGATTGTGACAGCCCATCGGTCCGATGAGCTGCTCCCTGCTGGTGCCAAGACCCGCAGGAAACGCCGAGCAGGCGGGGCCCTGCCTTCCCCTTGGCCGTGCCCTCTGTGGGGATTTTCACGGCGTTGGAAGGGGGAGCCTGGCTTCGCGGTAGTCCCCATTTTCGGCAGATGGTTTCTTCACGTCCACTAACTGCAGCATGTGTCCTCATGCTCAGTCTGTGGACTGAGGAGTCACTGGACTCCTCACACTTGGAAAAGAACCACAGCCCTTCTATTCGGCTGAGCTTTTCCCAGGGGTCTTCTGGCAAGAGGCAGGGCAGGTACGACAGGCAGGTGACCGGTCCCCGAAAGCTGTGATGTCCGTCAGCTCTGGCTTGTCTGTGGAATGGAGAGGGCGTGGGGGTCCTCACCCAGAAAAGGGGCATCTGCTTCTCTGTGAGAAGGAAAATGTGCAAAGGGTTTACTTAGTACCTAAGAGGCACCTGACTGACAAATAGGAATTTCCCTCCCTTCACTGCCCCCCCTCCCCGCCCCCGGGACGGCGCCGGCATTAGAACACGTGCTTCTCCGCCCCGTGCCGCCTGTGGCCGGCGCGACATCCTGGCTGGGACCTGGGGCCTCGCGGGGGGAGCTCCTGCCTGGCCAGGACTGAACTAGGGAAGTCTCTCTTCCAACCGTAGCCCCACAGTGAGCAGCTCTCCCCGGGGACAGGGGGACAGCGGGAGCCCAGTGTCCAGGAGGCGGGGCTGCTGTGCGGGGAGTTGGTGGGGCCCGTTCCGCTGACACCCAGCGCCCTCCCTTCCCTCAGCGCGCCCCCACCGCCTTTCTCTGCCGCCCTCCCCAGGCCAGGCCCTGCTGGGTCTAAACAGCATCACCAGGACAACAAGCCGAGTCCACTGAGCTGCCCACGTGCTTCCAATTTCCTGGCTGTAAAGACTGATTAGGAAGGGTTGCTCCTCAGCCACGAAGACTGTTACTAGTTCTTTGGTTTTTTTTTTAAAGATTTTATTTATTTATTTGAGAGAGAGAGAGCACACGAGAGGGGGGAGGATCAGAGGGAGAAGCAGACCCCCCTGCTAAGCAAGGAGTCCGATATGGGACTCGATCCCAGGACTCCAGGATCATGACCTGAGCCGAAGGCAGTCGCTTAACCAACTGAGCCACCCAGGCGCCCAGTTCTTTGTTTTATAAGCCTTTTCCTTCCTCAGACCGGTGACCGGGGCTCAGTGCAGGTCAGCCCCTGCCGCTTCCGTACGGCCCGGGTGACTCCCTCCCGCGGCTGAGCTCGCGAGTGCCACGATGGCCTGGCCGCCGCCCACAGACCTGAACTTCACAGGAGGGCCCAGAGCCCTTGGGCGACCGGGAGACCGGAAGGCCCAGCAGCTCCTGAGGCTGTGTGGTGGCCCAGAGACGCGGCTGTCCCAGCTCTGGTCCCGCGGCGGGACTGGGCCAGCCGCTGTGCCCCAAGGCTAGGGAAAGGGAGTCACTCCTAGAGGGGAACAGCCTTGACCTTGTCCTCTCAGGCAGACTTGGGACTTGAGGACTCCTGAGGTCACCCCGTAATCCTCTGTCTCACCGTCTGGTATGGGGGACCCTGATCTCCCGACAGTAGGGTGGGTTGGTTGGTTGGTTGGTTGGTTTGAATTGCTTCCTCTATACTCTCCCTGTAAAAGCCCCAAAAGGAATAACCAGCTCCTTTTCCTGCCTTTTGTGCTCTAGATAGGCAAGCCGTGGTCGCCTTCTCTTCTCTCCAGGCTGACCTTCAGCATTTGTTTTAGCAGGCTTATTGGGCAGACTTACAGCCCAGAGAGCCTCCTCCAGACCACCCTGTAGGTTCCTGGGGCCACAGCTTTGCCTCCCTCAGCACCTGCACGCACAGGGAGACTCAGCCCCAGCTCCCCTCCTCACCGGCCCTCGTCCTCTCCAGGCCCAGCTGGTGGAGGCACCTTCTCTCCTCAGCGCCGCAAGGAAGTGTGAGGCAGGAGAGGTTATCAGCCAGCTCAGCTCCAAGGGTCTGATGGCAGAGCTTTTGTACAAACAGAGGGTAATTTCCTGAGACGGCAGAGCTTGTCCTGACCGAGGAGCATATGGGAGCGTGGTAGGTTATGGCTCCCAGGGCAAAGTCGGGAATTGCCATCATCTGCTTCAGCAGGGAGAAGAATGTCCCCTGCAGGAGGAGAGAGTGGGTAGCTTAAGCCCTGGTGTGCTATCCAAGCTGCCACCCTTCGCCTAGCTGCACACGTGCATGGCGGCCTTGGAGCTGGCAACTCGGCGGCTTTCGGTCCCGATCACTCGCCTGCTCTGGCCCCCCACCCCATGAGCTGTGAGTGGCCCGCATCGGCCTGCCTACCAGCTCCAGGCTAGGGGGTGTGAGAAGCTGCTACTTGGAGTCCTAGTTGGCACGGTGCCGGGGGGGGGGACCCTGGACCAGTGGCCTCAACCTCCCACTCCACAGAGGAGGAAGCCAGTGTCGGGCGAGGGGAGGCCCCAGGGGCAGGACAGGGAGCCAGGCCTGGGCTTCCTGCCTGGTTCAAAAGGAGGAGATGTGGCAGGGCGAGGCCTGGGAAGGCTGAAAGTTGCTGCACGCTGTCCAGCTTCTAGGCCAGGGCTGTTTGGTACAGTTGTCCAGTTAACCCTTGAAAAGCATGGGTCCACTTATATGGGGCTTGCTTTTTTTTTTTTTATAAATTTTTTATAAATACGGTCCAATGCTGTAAATGTATTTTTTCTTCCTTACGATTTTCTTAATGACATCTTTTCTCTAGCTTTCTTCATTGTGGGAATACAGTTTATAATACGTATCGCACACAGAAGATGTATTGAGCGACCATTTCTGTTACTGGTAAGGCTTCTGGTCAACAGTAGGCTGTTAGTAGTTAAGTTTGGGGAGAGTCAAAAGTTATACAGAGATTTTCAACTGCATGGGGAGGTCGGCGCCCCAACCCCCACATTGTTCAAGGGTCAACTTAGTGTGAGCCACAAATGCAAGCCCAAGCCACATGTGTAATTTTAAGTTTTCGAGTAGCCACATTTTAAAAAAAGTAAAAAGCAGATGAAATTGATTTTTAAAAGTATATTTCATTTAACACAGTGTATCCAAAATATTGTGGCTTTAATCAAGATAAAAAAAAAATTATTGATGAGGTATTTCACATCTTTTTTTCCACACTGAGTCTTTGAGTTCCAACGACTGAAATCTTGTGGCTGCCGTGTGGGACCGTGCAGGTCTCCACGGAGGCTCTGTCCCATCCTGGCCACCTAAATGACCCTTGTCTTTCTCACATATTTAAAACCCGCATCTTTCTTTCTTTGTCCCTCTCCCTTCTCCTGTGCTTTGGTCTTGGGGGTCAGAGTCACTGCCATGTGACTAGGAGCATCTCCCAGACGAGGCTGTTCCTGCCGGCTGCATGTCAGCCCCTATCTGGGGCGCTGGGGCCTGATTTGATTCGGCATTAGACAGTCACGCCAGGAATTCAACTCTTGTTTTTCTTGCCATGAATCAGTTAGCCCTAATCTCGGGCGTGTGAGAGCCTCCTGTGCCGCTCATTTATTTCCAGGAGAGCTTCTGCAGACAGGAGACAGAGCTCAACCGTTCCAAATCTCAGTCTGGTTGCCTTTTGCCTCCTGCCATCGGCAGCCGGGGTCTGCATCCCTCTACCCTGTCCAGCTTCGAGGGGGTGGGGGGGCTCCCCTTGCTGCTCCTCTCCCGGGGCTGGAGTCTAGACATCTTTTTCCCCTGGGCCCCCTACCTCCAACGACCACCACCTCCCAGGAAGGAGCCCCGAGTTCTCGGGGAGGCAGGCCAGGGGGCTGAGGGCTGCAGTCTCCTGCCTCCCGTCTTGGCTCTCCTGGGCTCGTCCAATCTCAAAGATAAGGAAGTGAGCTCTGTGGTTGGAGATGAGAGGCTGGCGCATTCAGGGCTGGCTCCTGGATCCTGTAGTCATTTAAACAATGGCCCCTTTCTGAGGACAGTTGATTGCAGGCCTGCTAGTAGTGGTTCAAAGAAAATTGTCACCCAGCAATAACATGGAGGAGAGGCTGGGGTGGGGGTGCATGGCCTCTAGGCCTGGCCTTCCATCTCTGGCTCCAGCTCACACTCAACCGGGAGCGGAGCTTTGGATACCCTCAGCTTCCTTGTTGCTACTTGTCAAGGCCCCCTGGTGCCCTCCTCACCCCCGCTGTCCCCCCAGCCCCTCCCCTGCCAGGATGGGTGACTCCTGTGTCCCCTCTCCAGGACCAGGTTCAGTGGCTTGTCCATGAGATGCAGCCAAAAGGGACTCCAACCTCTTCTGTCCCACTTGGGCATGTGACCAGTCTCAGTTGTCCCCCTGCCCTCTCTAGTTGGAGGGATCCAACCCTGCGTCTTCTCTGTTTTCTGCCCTCAGCTAGGCTTTACCAGGATGTCCCCCATGCCCTGAAGCCAGCATGGCCGCATCCCTCCCCTTTGCTACTCGTCCAGCCTGCCCTCCACCAGCGCTGTCATGGTTCCAGGGAGTGGCGCTCTAGCTGTAGAAGGATTCTTCGACGTGGGCAGTGAAAGGAGGGCCTGCAAATAGGGGGGCACCGCAGGAGAAGGCAGCTAGCAAGATGGCCTGCCTGGCACTCGATGCAAGGAAGAGGCCAATAAACTGGCACCGTGTCCACCGCGCCATCTGACTCCAGAAAAGCCACGAGGGGCCCCTTCTGGGGGACCGAGTGAGGAGAGGCCGGCAGCAAAACCCAAGTACAGTGGGTTCCCAGGGGGCTCAGCCAGACCCTAGGCTCAGCAGCACCCGGAGGCTAATGCTGGGGGTCCTGGGGCAAGGGGCGCAGGGGGCATCCCAGCCCCTCTGGAGCTGGTCTGAGACTCTTCGGAGGATCCCAGAGCCACAGACAGGATGACACTGAGCCAGCCAGGAAGGTCAGGCCGTGGGACTGTGGGGTTGCCGTCTGGGGAGCCGACTGGGTGGTGCCCGCTTTTAAAATGTACCTTGTGCCAGTTGTCTGGGGTGAATGCCCCCTGTGGCTGCCCCGTAGTGGTGACGGGGAGCGGCGCCCCCTCTGCCGGGGGTGGGGTGAGAGCTGTGGGTGGGGGCATGCCTGATCGCCTGATGGCCGGGTGCCCTGTGCTGCCTGAGCTCTGAGGCCGGGCCTCTGTCCATCTGCAGCCCTGTCCCTCCGGGGCCCGGCTCTTTTCCCGTCTGGGCGTGATCTCTGCCGGTTCCCTCTGGGTGTGTGGGTGTAACAAGTCCGAACCTTCTCTGGGAGTCGGGCAGGCTCGGGCGCCCCGCCCTCTGGGCTGTGCCCTTTCCTCCCCGAACTGGTTGTGCAGGAGCAGCCGAGTGTGGGCAGTGTGGGTGCGTGTGTGGCAGCCCGGTCCACGCTCGCTCGCTGCCTCACCTGCGGGGAGGGGCCTCCCAGAAACCGCCTTCCCGGTGCCCGGCCACCCCACCTCACCAGAGCCCAGCCAAGCAGCCAGCGAGGACACACACCTGCCGCCCGCCACCTGCCTGCACCGGCCGAGCCCAGCCTGCGCCGGCACCTGCCTTTACGACCATGTTCAAGGGTCTGAGCAAAGGCTCCCACGGGAAGGGGTCCCCTAAGGGCTCCCCGGCCAAGGGCTCTCCCAAGGGCTCCCCCAGCAAGCACAGCCGGTGAGCGGGGCCTGGGGCAGCGGGCTGGGGCGGGAGGGGGTGGTGCCAGGCCCAGGTGCCCTAGCCTCCTGGAGATGGCAGCCTGGCATTCAGGACCAGCCCAGTGCTGGCATTTAGCGTCCCCAGGCCAAAAGTCTGGGGGGGGGTGGACTCTCTCCCAAGCCCAAACGGGGGCCTGGGGCTCCCACATTGTCCAGGGGGCCTGAGGGCCGCAGGCAGGGGTGCTCTGCTGGATGCACACTGCATGGGGAGGGGCCGGGGGGCCGGGAGACCAGAGTGCTTGGCTCCGTGTCTGTGGCTCTGCCCTCAAGGCTCTGCTTGGGCTGGGCTGACCCTTGGAACCTGGGCCCAGGGTGGGCAGAAGGACTGAGGCCAAGAGGTGGAGGTGGGGTGCCTGGTGCAGGGGGGCGGGGCTGTGCTGCGGCGCCTAAGCTGCAGCTTTCCTCACAAGGCTCTCCCCTCGGGCCTTGAGTTTTGTTACAGTGTTGGGGTGATTCTTGCACCACGTGGGTATGAGGAGAGGGTGCCGTGGGGAAAGGGGAGGGCCCGCGGGCCAGGACATCGCCAGAGCCTCCCTCTGCTCCCCCGGCTCCCCGCCGGACGCAGCCTGGCTCTCGGCAGCCACATGGGCCGCAGACAGACTTGGCTGCTTCCCTCCGTTTCTTCCCTCACCGGCCCCTGCGGGGCGGAGGTGGCAGATGGGAGCAGAGATGAAGGGCTCGTTACCCTGATAGGGATCGGACCGGGGCGATGACGCGGAGGCTGGGCTTCTGGGCGGACAGGAAGGACAGCAGTTAAGACTCTCACTGTCGTCCCTGGCGCTCCTGGGCCCTGCCCAGGGTGGAGTGTGCCACCCCCAGTGGGAGCGGCCCCCCCAGGAGGCCAGGCCTGAGGACAGGTCGCCCAGGGGTCAGGACCCACAGCTCCCTGTCCCCAGGTAGGCTCCTAGCCTGGGGCAGCTGGGGGCTCTGTCCACACAGCCAGGTCGGCTCTGGCTGCCGTCCCCCAAACTGGGTTCACTGGTCCCCTGCTGTGCAGTCCATTCAACATATATTTATTGAGCACCTACTGTGTGTCAGGACTGTTGTGGGCACTGAGGTGCCGCCTGACACAGAACCAACAGGTCCTTGCCTTCATGGTGCTTACATCCTAGTGGAATAAACGCCAGCACGTATGGATGCTTCAGAATGCGCTCATTCTCCTAACACAGTAGCACTGTGATGTAGATATTATTAAAGCCCCACTTTACAAGTGAGGGCACAGAGAGTTTAAGTAACTTGCCCAGGGCCACACAGCAGTAGTGCTAGAGAATGATCAGACCCAGGCTGTTTGGCCACAGAGTTCTTTCAGACTGGGTCTTCACTGGCACTGCCCCTCTGCCTGGGCAGGGACGTGGGGGCGGGGTGGGCTCATCCTTCAACCCCTAGTTCAAGGCGCAGCTCAGTGAAGCCTTCCCTTCCCCAGGACTGTAACTTCATAGGGCGCTGTGCTTATGAACCTTGGACCACTCTACTTTTATTAGGTCTGCTTGGGCCTCTAGGCCCCAGACAGTGAGCTCAAGCACACAGCAGGCGCCCCATGGAAAGGACCTTGGGGGGCCAGATCAGGCGCATACTCTGCTCCTTGCTGTGTGACCTGGAGCATGTCAGGTCCTAATCTGGTCTTAATCCTCAAATCTGGGCGCTGTCGGCGTGCCCCAACAATCTCTTGACCTCCCCCGCCCCAGGGCTGTGCAGCTCCTCCAAATGGTTGTTAGCCTGGGCATAGGCAAAGCCTGGGGTGGTGAGGGGGAGACAGGGCTGGGTGGGAGGAGGTTGGGGTGGGGGACAGCCGGTCCAACTGGCCCTCCCCAAAGCCCAGCCGTGCTGAGCCATGATTCACTCCCAAGGAAGTGGCAGGGAGCTGGGTGGGGTTGGGAGCTCACTGCCAGGACAGTGATGTTGGCCTGCTGCATGGTGCCAGGCACACCAGAGACCCCCACTTTCTGAACCCCCAGGTGAGGACAGTGCTCCCCCTGAAGGTTGAGCTGGCTGCCGATCCCCGAGGCCACCCAGCTGGCCCGTCCACCCTCTGCCCACCCCCAGGTCCTAGACGCCTCCCTCCCGGGCAGTGAGCCCAGCTGGAGGACAGGACAGGGCAGAGGGAGACAAGGGACCCCACGCAGGTGGGACAGAGGGGTCTTCTCCAACCATGCTGGCTCTGTCTTCCCCACCCCCCCACCGCACCCCAGGGCTGCCACCCAGGAGTTGGCCCTGCTCATCTCCCGCATGCAAGCCAATGCTGACCAGGTGGAGAGGCACATCCTGGAGACCCAGAAGAGACTGCAGCAGGTAAGGCCTCAGCGGCAAGCGGCGGGGAGCAGGGGGGGTGGGGCTTGGGAGGCTCACTAAAGCCCCGGAGTGCCCACCGGGGACGGCTAAAGTGGGACAGACAACCCTTGTCACTCACCGGTCTGTCCCCAAACACAGTGGGAGAGAGGGTTCAGCTCTCCTTTTCTGTTGGACTCCCAACCTGGTGGGTCAGAGGGGCTCGGGGCGGGGGCGGGTCTCCCCTGTGTCCCTGCACCTGCCCCACAGATGCCCTGGGCTGGGCCCTCTGCCAGTGTGGACACCGAGGTTGGCCGTGCAGCCTGGGGAACTCAGGGTGGGCTCAGGCGGCAATGAGGGGCCGCAGGGATGTCGTCCCCCACCTACAGGACCAGCTGCACAGTGAGCAGAGCCAGGCCCTGCAGCACCAGCAGGAGGTGGGCCACAGCCTGAAGGAGGCCGAGGTGCTGCTGAAGGACCTCTTCCTGGATGTGGACAAGGCCCGGCGGCTCAAGCACCCGCAGGCCAAGGAGATCGAGAAGGAGTACGTGGGGTGGCAGCCAGGGCCAGGGCTCCAGGACGGAGGCGCTGGGGTTCCAGGGGAGCCCCAGGCCCAGCCCTGACCTGCTGGCCGCCTCCTTGGCAGCATCAAGCAGCTGCACGAGCGGGTGACCCAGGAGTGTGCCCAGTACCGTGCCCTGTATGAGAAGATAGTGCTGCCGCCGGACGTGGGGCCCAGGGTCGACTGGACGCGTGTGCTGGAGCAGAAACAGGTCAGGGCTGTCCTCCATGTCGGAGACACCTCCAGGAGCTCAAAATCACACCTGGCACAATCAGAGAGCAAAACTGGGCTGTGTGCCATCAGGGGCCTGTTGGTGCACTTGCACCTGGGGAGGGTCTGGGACGGGAGAGAGAAGGGGAGACAGTGCAGTCAGGGAAGGCTTCCTGCAGGAAGCGGCATATGAAGAGGCCTCAGAGAGGTGGGAGGGCTTAGTTAGGCTGGGGTGAAATGCTGAGGAGAGGACATTCCAGAAAGAAAGAAATAGAGGCTCCAGCCTGGGGTGTGGTGGGAAGTGGGGTTTTCTGGGCAGGCAGGCAAAGCCAGGGCCCCCTGAACATCAGGTGAGGAACTGTGCTTTGATGCCACAACAGAAGGTGCCGTGATGACAGTGAAGGGACAGTTGGGGGGAGGGCATGGGCAGAGGAGGGTGTCACAGGGTCCCAGAGCCAGCGAGAGGTTTCTAGGCAGGAGGTGCCGAGGCCAGGGAGGTAAGGAGGCAGGGAAGAGTAGGAGGATGTTTTAGAGGCTGAGCCCTGCGTTCTGGGGACCAGTAGGAGTCAGGGGCTGTAGTCATGAAGATGCTCAGGCCTCGGCCCGGGCCACTGGAGAATAGTTGTCCCCCAGGGTGAGCTGGCTGCCGATCCCCGAGGCCACCCAGCTGGCCCGTCCACCCTCTGCCCAAACGACCAATTCCACTCCTCCATATGGGGACGCGGGGAGGACGAGGGAGGGCCGCCGCCCCAGCCCTGCGGCTGCGCTGAGCGGCCAGCTCTCCTGCAGAAGCAGGTCTGCGAGGGCCGGTTCGGGCCGGGCATGCCAGAGCTGGAGGAACAGGTCGCCGAGCACAACATCCTGCAGAAGGAGATCGAGGCCTACGGGCAGCAGCTCCGGAACCTCATCGGGCCGGTGGGTGACGTACCTCCAGGCCTGGCCCTCCAGCCCTACCCCCACTTTGTCCCATCTGAGCCTGTGTGGCCCAGCAGGGCCCTCTGGGGCAAGGGATGCGGGTGGGGGCAGAAGTCGGCCCAGGGTGTGGGCGGCCATCTCCCCTGCACCCCGCCTCTCACTGAGCCTGCTTTGTCCCCCACCCCCGCCCCCCCATTGGTCGAGGCAGGACGCAGCCACCATCAGGAGCCAGTACCGGGACCTCCTGGTGAGCAAGGGAAGGGCTGGGCTGGGAGTGGAGCAGGGCCCAGCTGCCTGCACCCTTGGTGGGGCGGGGGGGCAGCGTTTCTGGGGCAGGCTGACGTGGCCCCCTGCTACTCCTCCTCCCGCTCCACGTCTCGCCGAGCACAGAAGGCGGCCTCGTGGCGCGGGCAGAGCCTGGGCAGCCTGTACACGCACCTGCAGGGCTGCACGCGCCAGCTAAGTGCCCTGGCCCAGCAGCAGCAGAGCATCCTGCAGCAGGACTGGAGCGACCTCCTGGCGGACCCCGAGGGCGTGCGGCGGGAGTACGAGGTGGGTGGGGGAGACTGGGCTTGGGAGGAGGGACAGGGGCATCCTCAGCCTGTCCCCTCCTTGCCCATGCTCCCGACTCTGCCCCCAGCACTTCAAGCAGCACGAGCTGCTGAGCCAGGAGCAGAGCGTGAACCAGCTGGAGGATGATGGGGAGCGCATGATGGAGCTGGGGCACCCGGCTGTGGGGCCCATCCAGGTGCGAAGGACAGATCCCGTCCATTGTCGCAGGGACACCTGCTCCCTCAGCCGGTGGAGGTGGGGAGGGGGGCTTCCCAGGGAGGCTGGGGAGAGGGAGACCCGGCCCAGGTCTGGGCAGCAGATGGGGGCACAGGTCTGGGCGAGCATGGCCCAAGGGCTCGGTGCTGCTGTCTGCAGACCCACCAGGAGGCCCTGAAGATGGAGTGGCAGAACTTCCTAAATCTCTGCATCTGCCAGGAGAGCCAGCTGCAGCACGTGGAGGCCTACCGCCGGGTGAGCCTGGGGGCGGGGGCGCAGGGCCAGGCAGGGGAGACCCCCCGGGCCGGGCCATCGAGGGGCCACAGGATGCGTTCACATGGAGGGAGACAGGGTGCCTCCTAAAAATGGCAGAGCTGTGTCGTTGTGAATAGGTCCCCGAGGGAAAATGATGTCATGCGAGCGTTCGCCACAGGGTGATATAGCTCCCAGGGAGGGGTGGTTCTTAAGGGGGAAAAAAAACCCTTCCTCTTTTTAAGCATTAATCACCAGTATACATCCCTGAAGGATATGTGGCATATCTGTAGTATTACAATTTTATAGAGATGGTAGCAAGATTAAGGAAAAGACGTCCAAAAACTCTCCTTAGAAGGGATGATAATGAAAAGAGGGTTGAGAAAAACGGACAAAACACACAACAGGGACTTTTTTTTTTTTTTTTGGTAATTTCTATCCAAAATGTTTCATATGTTTTGAGAGGGACAAAATCCAAAGAGTTTTATTCTTCCTTTTTAAAAAAATATTTTCGGGGCGCCTGGGTGGCTCAGTTGGTTAAGCAACTGCCTTCGGCTCAAGTCATGATCCCGGAGTCCCAGTATCGAGTCCCACATCTGTCTCCCGGCTCAGCGGGGAGCCTGCTTCTCCCTCTGACCCT